GGCTGCCCCAGGTCTTTCCTCTCCTCTAGGTCCTGACTCTGGCTGCCCAGGAGCTGTCCCAGCCCTCGGCGCCGCCGGAAGCCTCCCCAGCAGGGCCCCCCAGGTCCCGGCCCCCAGCCCGGCAGCCCCGCCACCCCCGCCTGGCGAGCAGTGGTGGAGGAGCGCATCAGGAGCAAGACCCGGCGGGTCTCCAAGGTAGGCTGGGGCCTGGGCGGGACCTCTGGGTGCTGTCTGCACCGAGGGGGCACCCATGCTAGTGTCCTGTGAAGGGAGAGTTTTTGGTACAAGTGAGTGATGTGACTGACTCAGACAGAAGTGGTTTTAAACCATGAATACACATGTGGGTGTGAAAACAGCCCCAAGAATCTTACATTAGCAAGGACTGGCCTGGCGTGTGCAGGGTCATCAGGGTTTGTCTAGGCCGGGGCTGAATTTGCTCCACGGGATGTCCAGCCACGTCTGGAGACATTCTCATTTCTCACACGGGGGTGGGTGCTGCCGGCCTCCCCTGCCGTACGGGGCTGTCCCTCCAGGAGAGCATGTGGCCTGTGTCCCTGGCATGAGTCCTCTGGGGGAGGGGCTGTGCTCTGTGCCCTGTGCCCAGTGTGGCACCTAGTGACCCTGTGTCTTTGGCAGGGGTCTGCGGGGCAGGGACCGGCCGCTGACCCCAACAAATTCAACTCAGTTGCTGGCTACTTCTTCTTCCCCCTCATCCAGCATTTCGACAGGTGAGTGACTTTTCTGGAGGCCTGTGATTTGGGGAATAGGAGCCCTGGACACCTGTGGGAAGGAGGGTTCCCAGGGTGGGGCTAAGGTGTGGTTTTGGGAGCAGAGGGGCCAGGACCTCTGCTGTGGTCGTTTGTAGCTTAAATTAAGTGACATGAAGGCATTAGGTGTCAGGGTCTCCATCTCAGATGCCGGGTTCATGGTGGGGCCAAGGCAGAGCCTCACTCTGGTGCCTTGAGGAGGCACACACCCTGCCACCCCTCACTCCGTCCTTGTCCCGCCGCAACCTGAGCAGAGTATGGACATGCCCTGCTGCTGCTCACATTGGGTATGAGGCTCTGGATGGTGGGGAGGGCCCAGCCTGGAGCCCTTCCCAGCAGAGGTAGGGCTGGGGCTGCGCCTTTGCTGCAGTGGCCCTTCAGGAGGCGGCCCTGCGCCCTCACCCAGGCCTAAGCTTGCAAAGTGGCCGGGCGTCTGTCCAACACCTTCTCCTTCTGGGTCTGGATGCCCTGTGGGGACAGGCAGTAAGGAGGGGCATCCAGGGGATTGGGGTGTTCCTTGGTGGCCGAGGAGGTTGGGGAGCTGGCCTTGGGGTGCCTGGCCTGCACCATTCACTGGGTTCTGTGTTGTAGACCTCTAGTGACCTTCGACCTTTTGGGAGATGACCAGTTGGTTCTTGGGAGACTGGTGCACACCTTAGGGGCCCTGATGTACCTGTCTGTGAACACCATGGTAAGCTGGGACATGGCATGTGACAGCCCCACCTCGCGTGGAGTCTGCACCATGGTTCTGTCCCCACTGTGGGCCTCACCTTGGGACAGGAGTCTTTGGACCCAAAGATGGGGTCCGAGGCAGGGACTGCTGGGTTCTAGCACCCTGCCCACTGGCTTCTGCCCTTTTAGGTGGCTGTGCCCATGGGCAAGGCCCTGCTGGAGTTCGTGTGGGTCCTTCGTTTCCATGGTGACGCGTGAGTGGCTGCAGGGCTGAGGACACTGGGGAGGGGATGTCTGAGTCCTGCTGAGAAGTAGACAATGGGAGGTTGGTGGCAGCTCCCAGGTGTGGCCAGGACGTAGCTTGGAAGGGGACCAAGCTGGAGCTGAGTGTGCTCTTGTGGCTGGTGGGTTTTCCCTGACCTGGGAGGGAGAGTGCCGAGTTGGGGCCCCACTGGGCTCAGCCCTCCCACTGTCTCGGCAGCTACGTGCGCCAGGGCTTGCTGTCTGCTGTCTCCTCCGTACTTCTCAGCGTCCCAGCCGAGCAACTGCTGGCAGACCTGCCGGACGAGCTGCTGGAAGCCCAGTCTTGGCTGGCAGGTGAGCACTGGGCCTGCGCTGCAGTAGTGAGGTGGCAGGAGGCTGGCGCAGCCTGGAGGGTCCAAGTGGCCGTCAGCTCGTGGAGCAGCACAGGGCTGTCCCAGCCCAGGGTGAGCATCGCTCTCCATCTGCACACTGAGTGTCCCCCAGCATGGGGATGGGGATAGGGACATGGGTGCTGTTGGGTCACTTTGGGGAGTCCTGCAGGGGCCCTGAGAGAAGGTGCTGTAGTATGAGAGATGATGTCTGTATCATTCTAGAAAATTCTATGATCTCAGAAATGTTACAGGTGTCACACAGCGAGCACAGTGACCCTCACTAGATGATTGGCATTTTGCTACAGTCCGACTGCTGCCCCTCTCCTACATTCTCTTTAAAAAGCCTCTTATGCTGCTGCTTTGACCCCCACCTGTAGGCACTTGCGTGGCACCGTCAGAGCCACCACACCCGCGTCTACTCTCAGGGCTCCTGACTCAGCTGCAGCTACACTCGAAGGCCTGCTGGCTCTGGGGGGCTTTCTCTCCATTTCTGCCAACGCTGCCCATCAAGGCCGCTCACGAGCCTCCCACATTGGTGGTTTGCAGGCCCATCCGTGAGGGCATCTCTGATCACAGCCGGCGCTCCGTGTCAGGACGGCTCAGGGCTGTGTGCCATGGGTGTGGGTGCCTCCCCAGGCCGGGGCTCCCAGCCCCAGGGGGTAGGGAGCCTTCTGCTGGTGTCTGCGGCGGTTCAGGGGCCGCTGGGGCTCCTTCAGGAGCCTTAGATGAAGGACAGCTGAGGGGCTGGACCGCTGGGCGCTACGTGACACTGCCTGCATGTTATCCTGTCTTTGGCAGACGTGGCCCAGAAGGACCCGGACGAGGACTGCAGGACGCTGGCAATTAAGGCGCTGCTGCTCCTGGAGAAGCTCAGAGACAAGCTCCTCCCACCCCCGCCTCCTTAGTCACAGGAGGGGAGGCCCTCCTAGTGCTGGAGGCTCAGCCACTGTCCCCAGGGCCTCTGGGCTCTGCCCCCCAGCTGGTGGGACTCCAGGAGGGACTCCAGGAGAGCCACTGTGGAGTAGGGAGGAGGAGCTGCAGTTCAGCCTAACGCATCCGCCTCCAGACTGGTAGAGCTGGGGGCTGCCGGGCCGGGGGCTTCTTGGCGAGCGCCCCCAGCCCCTTTCCTGCCCTCAAGGCAGGTGACTTTAAAACAGCGGAAAAGAGGCGGGAGGGTATAGCTCAAATGGTAGCATGCATGCCTAGCGTGCACGAGGTCCTGGGTTCAATCTCCAGTACCTCCACTGAAAAAAAAACTAGTAATAAATAAACAGACCTAGCGACCCCCACCACACACACAAAAAACAGCAAAAAAGGGAGAATAAAGGAAGTGCAGGAGCTCTTTGTGATTCTCACTCCCGCGGGGACCCTGGTGCCCAGACAGGCCCTCCGAAAGGGGAGGCACAAAAATGGGGGCAGGAAGGGGACACAGACCTCTGAGAAAACAGGCTTTATTTGGAGAATGTCGGCAGCTGGTGGACAGCGCAGGGGGTGGGAGAGTGAGCACCCCTAGTCACGATGCAGCCCCGACAGTCCCTCACAGTGGGAGCTGGCGACACGGCCTGGCCCTGTGGTCAGACACGCTGCCAGGCAGCCCACGTGGATGCTGGGATGAGCGGCGGAGAACACATTGATGTCCTTAGTTTATGAAGCTCTGGAAGTTTCTCAGGCTTCACGATCTGCACTCTGGGAAATGTAACGGGAAAATGAATCAACTTCAACAAAAACCTGAATCAACTTCAACAAAAACCTGCAGGGGCCAGAATCACAGAGGTGGTGGCTTAGAGACACATTCCCGCTCTCCTCGGCAGGCCAGTGTGTCTTCCACAGCTCTGCCCATGGACTTGGACACTTCAGAAACTTCTTTAAACAAGAAAGTCAGGTTCTTGCTCCTGGGATGGTGGGGAGGTACCGGAAGAGCTCCGGCAGCAGCAGGCTGAGCCCTCAGGGGCCGTTCACCTCCTCTGTCACCTCCTCATCCATCTCCTTGTGGTCCTCCATGCTGTGGTGGCGGGTCCTTGCGGGCACAGCGCGCGTCAGAGGGATGCCCAGGCCCTGATGCACAGCGTCCACGGTCTGCTGGCTCACATAGTACGACATGTTGGTGGAGGGAAGTTTCCTCCGCATCTCCTCCAGGTACTTGTAGGCCTGGGTAGCACAGAATAGCTGTTACTGGTTAGCGCCCAGTGAGAATTGAGGGCCCAGCCCTAGGGTCAGAGGAGAGCCGGTCCCTGCTTCTCCAGTGAGGAGTGGAGGGATGCCCTAGGTGAAGGGACTGAGGTGACTTCCCAGCCTTTCCTAGGCATGGCAGTGTCTGAGCACCGTGCTGCTCAGGCTCTAAGAGTCAGTGCTGTGGGCTGTGATCACTATTCCTGAGCAGGTCCAGCCAGCTTCCCTGGAAAGTCCTGTGGGCGGCTGGTGTACAAGGACCCTGTGTGTGGGAGGGAGCCATGCTCCTGGTAGGATCTGCCCACTCTGGATGCACACAGGGAGACCCTAAGGGAAGGAAGGATTCGTGTCTTCCATGTTTCATTCACTCATTCACTCTGGGGTGTGTGCTTATTGGCCCGGAGGGAGGCAGCAACATATAAATGGTTTGTCCTGTTTGTTTTGATTAGGCATCAAATTTACCGCAGTTAATTGGGCCTGTGATTAGTGAGTCTCGTGTGCATGGTCCTTGGTCTGGCTGGTGAGCTATAGGATTGTCAGTGGTTTTCCTGTGGGACTTGCTCTGGTCCCAGCAGTGGGAGCGTGTGGGAGAGTGTGAGCGCTACACAGCAGCTCAGGAGTGGAGGCAAGACAGGTATGTGCACACTGGCCACACCTGCTACACCTGCCCTCCCCATGGAGGGCCATGCACAAGCATGGGGGGGAGCAGGGCCACGTGTGGCATCTAGGGTTTAACCCCAAGGTACACCGTGTCAGTTCAGAATGCACTGTGAGCTTGCAGAGTGCAGGAGCTCTCAAGCTACCTGGGAGGACACATCCAGGCGCCAAGAGGCTTCCGTAGGTGTTTGCCAAGTGCCAGCTGTGAGCGGGCACTGCTGGGCACCCAAGACATGAGTACAGGGAAGACTTGAGGCCAGGCAGGGTCGGGGCTGGAGGGAGGCGGTTGTGCAGCTTGGGGCTCGGGGTACCCTTCAGACCTGGTACCGCACATAGACTGCTTTCCTGGGGATTCAGGGAACCGCAGTCCCCAAGGCCGGCACAGTCCACTAGCCACGTTTCTGAGGTGACCTGTCAATTCCTGTCTCATGAGCACTTGGGAAAGGAAGACAAGGGAGCCTCAGTCTCACCAGGAACTACCCGCCAGGGATGGGCTGTGGGCAGAGCACATGCTTGTAGCAAAGTCTGGAAGACGCCCTTTGGAAAACAAAGGACAAATGCAGCTGGGTGGGACTCTGGTGTTGGTTACAGAGAAATAAGATTGAAAAGAACAAGGAGAGAGGCTGCGGGTGAAGGCAGAGTAACTGGTATTAGACCAACCAGCCCACACAGCTGATAAACTGGGCAGAACATAAAAGGCCCTGCGAAACAGCCGTGGGCAGGTGGATCTTGGGTGAGTTTCCTGCTTGTAACTTTTGCCTCGGGGAGGCCCCAGTCAGGGCCACTAGGGGAAGTGAAAAGGCACATAGCAACCCCACACCGTTTCTGGCAGAAAGAACCAGAATCAGAACTGGATCCAGCGTAGCAGCTGGAATATGAGGAAATGTGAAGACAGTCGTAGAGTGGGAGCCCAAATTCCTGATCTCCAGTTGACCCTGCACTCTGCGCGTGGTGGGGCCAGGGCAGACTCCAGGAAACACAACCAGAGTGAGAGTACTAAGCAGAGATTCCAGCTGCTGCCCACTACTGCGGAGGGTCTAGGTTGAACAAAGATGATTGCCTAGTGAAAGGGAGGGAGGGAGGGAGAGAAAGAGAGTAAAAAAAGAAAATAAAGAGTAATACTATACTCTTTGGAGGAACATAACAGAATGCAGGATCTCTAGAATGTGTTATCCACGATGTCTAAGATACAAAACGGTTGCTAGACATTAAAAGAAACAGGAAAAACTGACCTATACTCGAGAGAAAAGACAAATGATGGAGACCAACTCAACACGATCCAGATGTTTGAATTAGCAACAAAGACGTTAGAGCAGCAATTCTAACTATGCTCAAGTGTATAAAGGAAAATGCGGCAGCCTAATGGAAAACAGTATGGAGATTCCTTAAAAAACTGAAAACACTTACCCTATGACCTAGCAATTCCACTCCTGGGCATATAACCGGAGGAAACTAATTTGAAAAGACACATGCACCCCAATGTTCACAGCAGCAATATTTACAGCAGCCAAGACATGGAAACAACCTAAGTCTCCATCAACAGTTGACTGGATAAAAAAGATGTGGTATATTTATACAATGGACTACTACTCAGCCATAAAAAGATTGAAATAATTCCATTTACAGCAACATGGATGGACCTGAAGATGGTCATTCTAAGAGAAGTAAACCAGAAAGGAAGAAAAATACCATATGATATCACTCATGTGAAATCTAAAAAAAAGGCAAATGAACTTATTTATAAAACAAAAACAGACAGACATAGAAACAAACTTGGTTACCTGGGGAAAGGAAGGGATAAATTGGGAGATCGAGATTTGCAGATACTAACTACTATATATAAAATAGATGAACAACAAGTTTCTGCTGTCTAGCACAGAGAACTATATTTAATATCTTGTAATAACCTAGCATGAAAAAGAATTTGAAAGTGAATATATATATGTGTGTATGTGTGAAACATCATGCTGTACAATAGAAATTGATACATTGTAAACTGACTATACTTCAATTAACATTAAAATTTAAAAAATGAAATGTTTTTAATAAATGAACAAATAGGAAATGTTAGCAAAGAAAAAGAACTAAGTTTAAATTCTATAACTGAAAAATCAAAATCTAAAACGAAAAATTTGCTGGAGAGCTTAACAGCAGATATAGACAAGAAAAGTCAATAAATTTGAAGATTGTTACAAGTTTTATACTTCAAATAATAGGGAAAGAAGATTAATAATAATAAATAGTAATTACCAATGTTTATACACTTAATATGAAAAGGCCTAACATTTCATTGGAGGCCCAGAAAGAGAATAAGGTAGAAGAAAATATTTGAGGGGGAAATAATTATAGATTTCCCAAAAACAATCACAAAAGGAACAGACTGTTTCCAAGTTATATACCCTCATCCTGGAACAAAGCTCAACAATAAAACAGCACACACACACACACACACACACTCCATCAATCAACAACCTAAGCCATTTACAATGTCCGGAATTAAATAAATAATTACCAGGCCTGCAAAGAAGCAGGAAAATATGAACCATAATCAAGAGAAGAATCAATTAATAGAAACAGGTATGGAATTGACACAGGAGTCAAGGACTTTATAATAGCCTTATAAATACTTCATGTGCTCAGGAAGGTAGAGGAAAGAGTAAGCATGATAAAGAGAGACACAGAAGACAAAGGGAAAGGCCAGTTTAGGCTCGTGGAGGTGAAAATCATGTCACGGAGCAACACGAGCAGACGATGCAGAATGAAGACTGGTGAACTCGAAGCAATAACAAAGCAACTCACCCAAATGAAAAACAGAGAAAAAAATCTGGGCAAAAAGGAGAAGAGAATCAGCTAAGCTGGGGTACAATGTATACCAGTAACTGGAGTCCGGAAGGGGAAGGGAGAGAGGGGACTAAAAGGGAGCTCCCTACAGGCTGCGAGAAAACACGTCTGATGGAGGATGTGTAAAGTCCACAATCAACAGTGAGGCGAAAAACACCCAGTAAAACAGTGGGAAAGGATTTGCACATTTGCAGGAGGAGAGAGGTGCTTGCCACCGGGCAGTAGGAGGTGCATCCCAGCCACGGTAAGACACCAAAGCACACACACCTACATGTCGGCCATTGCACGTCCCCCAACACTGAGACGTTTCTAATCAGATTGGGGTGGCATTAGCAAACGTGATTTTTCTGATACGTATAATGAAATATGCTGACGTTTGCATAACTCAGTGAACCAGTATTTTCCACACAACCACCATGATGTTATAGAATCATGTGTGTGTAAGAGATCCAAGACCGAGCAATGGGTATTAAAATAACAAGTACAGAAAGTACAGGGATGTGGTTTTGGATTCCTCATCATGACTAACTTAAGAAACACCACCCTGTGTGTGGAGTGTCGGGGTGTCAGAGAAGGGGGGCCACAGAGCTCGGAGGAGCTGCTGGAATAGCCTCCCATTTCCACCTGCTTGTTGGTGGGGAGCTGGCCTTTCATTCTATATTTCATATTTCAATTTAAAAAAACCTATTTTAACAAATTGAATGCAGAAGCACAAACCAAGACTTTGCCCATCCTCTTATTAAAGAGATTGGCAAAAATGTAAAATAAGGCTACTTTTCTCACTAAATTTCTTTGTTTTGGAAAATAGTTATTTTTAATGAAAATATTACCTATTTTAACATATAGTGGGTTTATTTTATTTTTAAATGGATTAACACATCTTTCACAGATTTATTAGTTTCGTTTTCTAATACACCAAATATTGGTAGATATAATCCACATAAATAAAAGCTCCTATGGTCCTCAATAACTTTCCCAGAGGAAAGGGGTCCAGAGACTGAAATGTTTGAAAACCACTCTGTTAAACTGAATTGTCAAAAACCTTTCACAAAGAAAGGTCCAGGACCTGTGGGTTCCCTTAGGCATCTATCCAACATTTAAGGAAAAAGTAACGCCAGTCTTACATAAACGAAAATCCAGGAGTTAGGAACCCCAAGTGTTAGCACACTGAGGAGTGAAGGGGCAGGACAGGATGTCTGTGCCTCTCAAATGGCTAAGAAAACTCCCATTTTATTTATAAAAGGGAAATTTAAAAACATATCGAATGAATAAATAAATGTGGCAAAATGTCAACAAGTGGTGAATCTGGTGAAGGGTATACTTGGGTTCTGTTATTCTTGTACTGTCTTAGTATGAAATTATTTCAAAATAAGAAAGGCTAAAAAGTCAAAAACCAAACCAGAACCAGGGGAGGTGCCTCCCCTAGTGTGAGCTCTGGGGGGAGGGTGGGGACCCCCCCAGGTGGGGACCCCTCCATCACCCCAGGGAGCTGGCCTCACCATCTGCAGCTCCCCCATCTGCATGTGGCGCTCCACCAGGAAGCCGTACACATCCCCCACGCGGACAGTGCTGTCCAGGTCTGGCTCCTCCAGGAGCAGCTCGCACTGCTTGACTGACTCCTTAGGGTCCTCAGTGTACATCCTGCTGGGAGCAGAGGGAACCTGAGCCTGAACCAAGGACATGGGCTGCATGTCACAGGTCAGGGCAGGCACTCAGCGTGGAGGATGCGACTTTTGTGAAGATAATGCCCGTGAATTGCTGGTTCACAGTGCTGGTAGCACACTAGACTCTGTAGAGCAACGGTTTGTCAATTCCAGTCCCCGCCCAGGAAACAGTCTAGAGGAGACAGGGACACAGGGGGCGAGGGGTGGAGCAGGCCATGTTGCCAGAGTCGGCATGGACAAAGCCCAGGGTGGTGACACAGAGCATCTGCCATGGTAAAGTGGTATGCATGTGGGCAAGGTGGGCCCAGGAGGCCTTGTGAGCCTGCCCGGAGTAGAACTCAGTCTGGGGCTGGTGTCCGGAGTCCCTGGAGAGGGGCCTGCCCTCTGGCCCTCAGGAACCCCCCGCCCCATCCACAGACGTCCGTCCTTGACTGCACAGGCCCTGCTGCCAATTCTCCTGCCTTCTCCCTCCTGCAGCCCAGGTTCAACAGACATTCTTGAATTTACAGGTCTGAGTGGGGAGTATGCTTTAAAAAGAGCCCCACTTTGTAAACAGTGTGCAAATATTTTTGGCACTCTTCTTTCAAAAAAGCCTGTTCTCAGATAAGGAAGTACTTTTATTGGTTTAGGCAGGGGCTGAGCTCTGCTGCTCAAACAGAGGCTCTCAGAAACGCTGGATGATTTGCCGATATGTAGAAACTGGGGTCCTGTGCACATTTAGATTTGTGGCTTCTAGAACAGAGACGGCTGCAGCCTGAGCCTCTGCCCCACAGTTCCCTTCACCGGAACCACCTGCTAGCGCCCTGCACACAGCTGAGAAGGCCCAGGCCCCTCAGACACACCTTCTCCCCCTCAAACCCTCTGCCAATGCACCTGAGGGCCTGCGTGGGGAGGGTGGGGTGGGCAGAGACACCTGCAGGCCTGCGTGGGGCGGGGAGAGGGCAGAAGCACCTGCGGGCCTGCGTGGGATGGGGAGGGGGCAGACACACCTGCAGGCCTGCGTGGGGCGGGGAGAGGGCAGACACACCTGTGGGCCTGCGTGGGGAGGGGAGGGAGCAGACATATCTGCGGGCCTGGGTGGGGCAGAGGGGAGCAGACGCACCTGCGGGCCTGCGTGAAGCGCTTCACCAGCGTCATCCTGCTCTGCAGCTGCACCAGCCTGGCCTCCTGGTCCAGCGGGCTCCTGGCCTTGGCCTTGGACAAGCACTTGTAGGCCTCAGTCAGCGCCCCGTGGGCTTTGTCGTAGTTCTGGTACTCGTCTATCTCCACCTGCAGAAGGAGGCATCAGGACCTGCGGGCCGGCGCCCTCCCGGGGCCCTGGGCCTGGCAGGTCAGTACCTGGGCGCAGGAATCGTAGAAGCCAGCCAGGAGGTCCAGGGCCCGGCCCTTGGTGTAGAAGCTGATGATGTTCTTCATGATCTCCGGGTCCTTCCGCCAGTCCAGGGACTGCAGGTAGTTGGCTGCCATGATGTAGATTTCCTTTTGCCTCGAGACACCCGCAAAGAACACGATTTTCTCCGTGTCCCCAGACTTGAGCAGCGCTCTCATGGCCTGGATGGAGAAAGAGCCACACTGGCCCCCTTCCCAACACAGAGGACAGAATTCCTGCCCCGGCCCTTCAGAGCCCTGCCTGGGAGCTCAGCCCTTAGGGCGAAACTAGGGGTGAACAGGACGTACCCAATGGCCAGCTGCGCTTACCTTCACCCTGTCCCCGGCCTGCATGTACTTCTTGGTGGCCAGGTGGTAGTTGCCCTGGCGCATGCAGCAGGCCGCGATCTGCTCCAGTAGCTCCCGCCGCGACTCTTCAGACAGGTCCTTGCAATCCTTGGACACGGTCATCTTTTCGGCCATCTCCTCGGTGATAGTCAAGTTCTGCTCCAGGCAGAGCTGCAGGGCTTCATGATACTGGAAAGGTGCCAGAGGATCGAGAAGGGACGGTCACCTGTGGGCGGGAGGGGCCATGCCCCCCACCTCCTTGGAGGAAGCAGCCACAGCCATGTGGGGCCATGTGACTTTCTGTCCCTATTAACATTCTAGAGGCAACAAAGGAAACTCGGAGCCCAAAACAATGTTATACTTGTAGGAGGAAAGGAAACTAGAAATTAATTTTTCTCCATAATTTTTTCCTCCATAATTTTAAATTAAGGGGTTTGATTAATTAGCTATCTTAAAATTTTAAGACAAATTTTATATTCTTGACTTAAGAATATGACTTGGGAAAGAAAAGAACTATGTCTTGGAGATGATTCATCTCAGCACATAAGGACTGTGCACATCTGGCCCACAGACAGGAGAGGGTAGACTTCTGCTGGTCCCACCCTTGTGCAAATGCCCCCACACAGCAGACAGAAGGCACTGAGCCGCAGAAGATGTCCTTGTTACTTGTGTTCCTACCAACAGCCTGAGGGTATCTGTTTCCCATGACAACCTAAGCTAATTCACGAACAATGGTATCTCTCTGAGTGTTGATCTGTATTTCCCTAATTATGAATGAGACTAAGTATCTGACATTCAGGAACCATCCATACTTTTTTAGAAATAAGTTATCCATATTCTTTGTCCTTTCCTCTTGAGTTGTGGGTAGATTTCTTACTGGTTTATAAGAACTCTATACCTTTTAAGAAAATCAGCCTTTGAATAAAATAGAATTCAATTATCTTAAAAAAGGAAAATTAGCCTTTGGGAGATACAGGTAGAATATATTTTTCCCACTTTATTATTCCTCTTTGCTTTGTTCACGGTGTGTTTTCCATGTGCTATTTTCAAATTTGTATTTGGTCAAGTTGATCGGTCTTCCCCGTACGGCTGCTGGGTTTTGAGTTACACTCCTTTAACATTGTACAGGACACCCGTGGCTTCTAGTGGAACTGGGGATGCCTCCATATACGCTTAAATCTGACTGCCTGGAGCTTCCTTGGATGTAGGCAGTGCATAGGGTTTATCTTCGAGTTCCCCGTGTTGACCACATTCACTGACCAGCACATCCCCACTGCTGTGAGATGCTCCTTCACCACATCCAACTGTGCATGTGGTTCTATCTCTGGATTTCCTAGTACTTCCCACTTCTCTGTAGGCCTGATCATGCACCAGATCCCAGTGATTATAGCTTTGATATAGTTTATGATCTGGGAGGTTTAATAACCTCTTTTTTTTAAAATAAATTTTATTTTTTTATTTTTATTATTTTGGCAGGGGGAGGTAATTAGGTTTTATTATTAATTTTGGGGGGAGGTACTGGGGATTGAACTTGGGACCTTGTACATGCTAAGCATGTGCTCTATCACTTGAGTAATTACCTCTTGTTAGTCTTCTTTCCAGATCTTTCCTGAGTCTTCACTGGTTTTCACTGTGGCACTATAGAATCTACTTATCTTGTCAGAGGAAGCCCAGTGGTGTTTCTCCTGGGGTCAGAGTAAGTCTGAGAGTGTCTCAGGGAGGCCAGTCTGTGTGTCCGTGGGTCTTTCTAACCAAGAACTTGGTGTGTGTGTCCCATTTCATTTTTCCAAGAATTCGTGTATCACTTAGTAGTGACAGACCAAACTGCACTCACAATTCTGGCCGCAGGAAGAAAGATCGTCCATTTTGGATAGGCTAATTCTGTATGATTTACAACTTTCTACGTCTCCATTCAGTTTCTATCAAGGGGAATTTTTCTACGTAAGAAAGATTAGTGCATATGCTCACTGGGATGCCTACTATCAGAAAACAGCAAATGTTGGGGAGGACGTGGTGCAATGTGGGTGGGAAAGTCAAATGGTGCAGCTGCTGTGGAAATAGTCTGTCGGGTCCTCAGGAAGTTAAGACAGAGTCACTATATGGCCCAGTGCTTCCCTCTCTGGGTAAATACCCGAAAGAATTGAAAGTGGGGTGTTGAAGAGATGTTTGCACACTCATGCTCACACTCACGCTTATTCACAACAGTCAAAAGGCAGAAGCGATCCGGATGTCCATCTGTGGGTGATGGACCAGGAAGCTGTGGTCTGTATGTGCAGTCTCAAACAGCAGGGACATCCTGACACAGGCTCTACTGGGGTGAACCTGGAGGACGTGATGCTGAGTGCAAGAAGCCAGCCTCAAAAAGACAAATACAGTACGATTCCCCTTACATGTGTCCCTAGAGACATCAAACTCAGAGACAGAAATTAGGAGGGTGGGTGCCAGGGGCCAGAGAGAGTTTTAGTTTTGCAAGATAAAGAGTTCTGGAGATTAGCTGCATGAAAATGTGAATGTACTTAACATTGCTGAGCTGGGCACTTAAACTAACAGCTAGGATGGTCAGTTTACGTGACATGTGCCTTACCACACGCACACAGAGGAAAGTATGACTCCCTGGTTGTGACTGGAAGACATTCATGCACAGGGGAGCTCACTCTCGGTGCCCCCACCCCCAGGGCAGGGGGTGCCTGGGCCCTCCCAGGGAGGTCATGACCGCAAGAGGCAGTGAGCCATACCTTCTTGGCAGCCAGCAGCAGCTCCACTGCTTTCTCGTACTGACTGTGCTCCAGGAAGAAGTCGGAGCAGCGGGCCAGGAGGGCGGGGTCTGACTTTTCATCCAGGTCCTCCGCTACCAGCTGCAAGGCCGCAAACTGCTGGGTGGCGAAGGCCAGCTCCAGGGCCTCGGAGAAGTGGCCGGCCTGTGGAAGGGGGGAGGTCTGAGCAGCTCCCAAGCCTTGGGCCGAGGATGTTCAGGCCGTCCCCATCCCGTGGCCCAGCCCCTGCTGTGCCCTGAGGCCTAGGGCAGGGCCAGCACCCACCTTGTGGTACAGCATCACTGCCCTGTCCATCTGCTCGCCCTTCTCCTCATAGTAGCGCGCGGCCTCGATCATGTCCTCGGGGGAGCTCAGCAGGGCTACGTTCATGAGCTGGTCGTCCAGGCCGTGCTCCTGTGGGCAGGGGCTCAAGTCTGTGAACGGGGAGCTGCCATGCGGCTGTGGTTTCTAACCCCTAGTTTGTGTACCAGAACTTTCAGAGGCTTCCTTCTTCTCTGTTACACAGGACACTGCGGGAACTATCGTGACCTTTGGGATTTTTTCAGAAGTGAAACCTTGGGTTGGAACATTTTTACAGAGGCAGAGTCTGCCATGTACGAGGCCGTGAGCAGCCTCACTGCTCCCTCAGGAACCTGGATTCTGGGACACATCCCCGGGGCCACTCAGTGCCTCCCTAAGAAGGATGAGATGGCAGAAGGAGGGGGCAGAGAGCACGGTGCGGGCGGTGCACAGAGTGAGGCCTGAGTGGTAGAATCTAGCCAGGGCGGTAGGTGTGATGCTCTTGATATAACCCTCTAACTTAAGAGTGTGGGAACCAGTACTGAGCCTCCTTCCCCACCCAGAGACTAGGCGCCCGCCGCTACCTTGCAGAGGCGGATGGCGTTGTTGAAGGCCCGTGCACGCGTGTAGAAGTGCACAGCCTTCCGCACGTCTTCCTGGTTCTCGTAGTGGCGGGCCAGGTGGTACGAGGCGGCCCAGTTCCCAGTCTCGCTGGCTATCTCAGCAGCCTAGGGACACCAGAGACCCGGGCATTGCAGCCTGGCTGCCCCAACAAGCAGCCCACCTCCCCCTGGGGCTGCTACCTTCTGGATGTTGCCCTGGAAGCAGTAAACGCGGACCAGGGAGAAGTAGTCCTGAGCCAGTTCGTAGTAGCGCAGCGCGGCATCCATCTCAGCCTGGCTCTCCAGATACTGGGCCCACCACTGCCACAGGGTCCTGCCAGGAGCCCACGGGCTCTCCTTCAGGTCCTGCTCCCGCAGGAAATGAGCCCTGGGCCCCACATGCCACCCTCAGGGTGTGCTTCACGTGACCAGCAGCCAGGAGATGTGGATGCCGGGTGGACAAGGCTGAGAGTGAGGTCCTGTAGGAAGTCCCCCCAACCTCAGCACCCTGGGGACCAGCTCTGAGGCGCTGGGGATGCTCCACCCTCTCACATGTGAGGCTCCAGAGGGAGGACCCAAGGGGCCTGGGGCCACTCACTTGTCCTTCATCTTATTGATGTAGAGTTCCAGGGACCGCAGGTCCTCCGCCAGCATCCGGGGCACCTCGAAACGGTGGGTGTCCGACTTCTCGTAGCTGTGGGAGAAGAGAAGGAGCAGCATACTCTCCCGTCTCAGCCCTGTGACCACCCGGGACCGAGGTGGGTATAACTGTGTGGAGTGAGGAGGGGGAGGGGGACATGGAGCTGCCTGCCTCCTGCCTGTGTATCTGTGGCTGTGCACGTGACCAAGACGGCTCGACCACTATCACTGCGCCGTCGGTGCTGCAGCCACGCACACACCCGGCGGACCCCAGGCCTAGAAACCCGGAGCCCAGCCAGGGCTGGGGGGCAGCCTGGTCTTCAAGGTTCTCCTAAAGCCAGAGAACTGGGGCTCCCCCTAAGGCCTCCCACCAAGATGGCACCCACCCCGCAATCTTCCTCTGAGAACCTGTGCAGCCACCTCACTGGGGCAGCAATAAAAAGCAAGTGGCCCTGGGGCCGCCCCTCGCTCACTAGCTGAGGGCCAGGCTGCAGTCATCGCTGGCCTCCAGGTGCTTGGCGTAGTTGTAGTAGGTGGTGCGCAGGTGCACGCGGTCGTGGAGCTCGGCGACCTCGATGGCTTTCTGCCACTGGCCAGAGGCCTGGTGGAGCCTGTTGAGGAGGTCATAGCGCCCGCATTTCTTGTATAGCTGCTCTGCATCCTCCTGAGGGGAGGAAGGATGCATGTTGGTGCCAACACTGCCCCCGAGAGTGGCTGATGGGCACCGGGACCCACTGTAGTTTGGGGGTAGGGAGGTCCCGCATCAAGCAGCCCCCGACCAAGACCTCAACACACCCCAGGACAGATACTTCAGGACCCCACATCCAGGGATGGTCAAGACAAATGCTGAGAAGTCAGGCCTCAAACATCAGCCAGGAGGGTCTGACCTCTCCCACCACCCGCCCAGCCAGGGTGTTCAGACCCTGTCAGAGCCTCAGGTTGTCTGCGCTGCTCACCCCTCAATGGTAGGGAGCTGTGTCTGGCCACTTGGCCTCTGCCTCCCGTGAGTTCCACCTGCCTCTTCGGGCCAACGGGGCTACAAGGGGCCTTGAGCTCTGTGAACATGCAGGAGGCAGGGAGAGGACCTCACTCCCCATCTCCTCATTTTGGCTTCAGCTTGTTTGAGGGGTTTTCTGTTCCCTGCACCCCATGGCCCAAACAAGAACACACCACACACCACCCAGGGAGGCCGCCAAGCAGCATCCTGCCTATGAGGCCTGCTCTCTTTTCATCTGAGGGATGATCGGAGCACCGCCGTCTGCCTGCACTCACCAGCATGCCCAGCTGTATGGCCAGCATGGCCACTCTGGCCTCCAGCTCTGGCTCCTGCTCGGCTTCCCGCAGCGCTCGGGCTCCGCGAGCGTGGCCCATGTGCCCCAGGCACACCTTCGCAATGTCCAGCCGCTGGGTCTTCACACACATGCGCGCCATTTTCTCCCAGACGGCCTCACTGTGGCAGGGGACACGGCAGCTCTATGAGCATCCACCCCTGCGCCTCAGGCCCGACCGAGACTGATGGCAGACAGCTTGGGGCACCGAGTCCAGATGCACATGGTCACTAAGAAGGGGAACGTATGGGAGCCCAATGGCTTCATGGGCAAAAGCAACATGGCAAACTGGGGACCACGTGCCTTCCTGAGGAGACAATGAGTAAGACACGTGCTCCCGGCCCCCAGCTCCTATCAGGCTCCCTCCCTCAGCTGCAGGCCAGCTGCGTCTCCCCGCAGTGGACAGGACACATCCCACTAAGACAAGAGGGCCGTTTCTGCAGGCCACTAAACTGCCACTGTCTCTGTTTAATGGTCTGTTAACTCAGTGAACATTCGCTTCTCTTCACTCCCCCCCACCTCCCAGCACCTCTGTCCTAGGGCTGAGCTCCTAGTGCCTCACACGACCAATGGGAACCTGGGTCTGGGCAGAGGATGGGGTCTGTCCGACTCCCACGCCAACTCCCACGAGGACAAGCAGGACACCTGAGTGGGCCCTTGCCAGGCGCTGAATGGAGAAGAGGGTCCCAGGGAAGGGCGGCCAGAGCCAGCTGAGGTTTGGGCCTGACCACCCGCCCTCTGATGCCCCCGGCACAGGCTTGGAGGCACCAGGTTTTCCTTCCTCATTTTGAGGTTTCCAGCATCTCTCTCCAATGCTGACCAGGGGCTCCTGCCCCACTCCCACAACAAGTCCAATCCTGGAATGACCTAAGATGATCTTGACCTCAGACGGGAGGGAGGACGCCCTGGGGCCCCTCCTTCTGGGGCTCCATTCGCTTGATGACCTCACATCAGGGCTCTCACAGCCCCAGGAGCACAGACTAGTCCATAAGTTCTCGGTGATGAGCCTCAGAATTCAAGTCACTGTGGATTCCACCCCTCCTTTCTCAAGACCGTGGGCGAGTAGCATGGCAGTGAGGTGCAAGATGACGGGTCTTGTGCACCTGGTCGGGAAACACCAGCTATCCTACACCTTCCTCGTCAGGGAATTAAGTCTCCACCAAGCAGGGCTGGGAAAAGTACATGCAGGAAGTGCAGCTTCGGCGTGTGGCCACATCTGACATCCTCTCCACAGGCCGGAGTCTGTGCATTTCTGTGTAGAAAATCCACCAGGCAGACACCTGCCTAGTCCCTGTCCCGCCTGGCCGCCTAGTCCCTGTCCCAGCCTGGCCACGTCTGCACCCAGTCAACATGAGAGGCAGTTGGGCACCGAGCAGTCCGGCTCTCCGGAAAGCCCTGTCCTCCGAGAAGCTGCCAGAACAAGCCCCGAGAGCCTCTCCTCTTGCTCTGCTCCTTGGAGACCTGGGTTGATTAGTCGGAGCATGGGTGACCCTACTGCATCAAGTCCCACCGAGTGGCACGCACGCTACTGACAAACCTCCTGTGCTGCTTTGCTTGAAGATGAAACTCCCCTCTGTCTGCAGGCAGGAGCAGGGGAGGCACCGTTGGGCACCGCCACTAGACCCCTGGACAGGGCCAACGATGCAGACCACGGAGGACAGGAAGGGCCCCTGGGGTGGCACACGATGGGGATGCATGAGGAGGTCCTCTGAGGACAGGGTCACTCCTGACTCAAGGTCTGCTTCCAGGCCTGCCACCCTGCCTGGCCCCACTGTCCACTCCACCAAGAGCCTGGGGCTGGGGAGCTGGCTGAGGGTGCTGTACCCATCATCCAACAAGAGCCTCAGTGGGTGGGCCAGCCGCTCCCCACCTAGCCTGGGAAGAGAGCTGGTAGGACCTCGCCCAGGGACCAGCAAAGCAGGGACTACGGTTCCTGAAACCCTTTGCTTGCTTTTTAGTGGAAATCAGCCACTTAAGGACTACCTCAGGATGAGCGATTTAAGTAAGTAAGGGGGGAAACAGTCTTCTAATGGGAACTTTGGGGGAAACTTCCTTCTGAGGTTATCTACTCCTCTGTGTGTGCAGGAGCCTGGGGTGTTAGAAAGTCCTCCTCAAAGAACGGGCTCCTGGTGCAGGAGGGGCTGTGGCCAGCTGTCCACCCACAAGGTCTTCTGAGCTGCGGGTCCCCGGGCTCCTCCCCATCCACCGGGAGGCTGGAGAAAGCGACGGATGGTGGGGCAGGGATGGCAGTTTTGCTTCTGGCACAAGCCAAGGAAAGAGGGAAAGGAGCAACAACTCAGCTGACACATCTGTTACGGTCTCCAGGGGGAAGAATCCAAAATAGGTAAAATCCCTCTGGGAACGATGGACAGATGTTTCTTGGGATCCTCGACTCTCCAAAGACCCCCTGCTTTTCAGGACTGTAAACTTGTCAGCATGGAAGCCTCACCTGGGAGGCAGCACATCCAGGCCCCTTGCGGGTGTCAGCACAGACCCTGGCTGGGTGAGGGGTCTCCAGAGGTGGTGGCACAGACCCCTCCACCTCCGCCCACTGCGCGAGCTGCCAGCCCAACAGGTCTGAGCAGGGCAGATGAAGATCCCTCCGAGCTCCGAGCAGCCTGATGGCTTAAGTGACTTGGTGCAGGGCACCCAGCGCAGGGCCTGGCCCCTTACTGGCCACATGTTCCGTCAGTAGCAAACACAGCCCAGGCCCTCAGGCCTCGCTGGGTGCCCTGCACAGCACGTCCAGAGCCCAACCCCCAGCTCCAGCCTGCTCTGGTAGTTCTCCAAGTGTGGCCCTGACTCGCCAGGTCTGGACCAGGAGGGGTCTCAGCTGGGAGGTGGAGGTGTCCAAGGGGCCTCCCTGTCACGAGGCCCTTCTTTGATGAGATGCCCTGGAGTGTCATGTGCTGGGGAACTGACCTGTTGGCTGGGGGGTGCCAAGTCCCCAAAGTGGGTGGCTGGTCCTGAACCAGAGGAGTGAGAGAGACAGCTGGGTCTGTGGGTCTGCTCTGGGCAGGCCTCCCCACCTCGCGAGGGAAGGTGGGGAGGGCGGGGGAGGGTCCTGGAGCAGGCCTCCAGAAGAAGGCCCCCCTGCCTTTCCTATCAGGAAACACATCCTGTTAGTGTCTGGCTGCTATTTGTTGCGGTTGGCTACGCCCTCCAGCTCACCAAAAAACAGCCTCAAAAACAACCATTTCCTCTCTGCTGAGAGACACTGGGAAAACGCAGGCGCGAGACACACACACACACACACACACACACACTCACGCGCACACGCTCTCGCTCGCCCTGCAGCTGCCGTCTGTCTGCTTTCCAGGACCAGCTGTTCCGTGGCGGAGGCACCCGCAGGGGCTCAGGCAGCAGAGAGGCCGCCGACGCTTGCTCTTTCCCGCGGACCTGCTCAGAGTCCGGCTCCACGTTGGTCCTGAGAGCGAGGCCCAGGCGTCCCACGCTGGATTCCTGCTCTTCCTCGGCCTCCGCCTCCCAGGAAGACGGCGCACTCACGACTCTGGACTCTCCCTGGTGCCCCTGCTTCCTCCCCGGGATGGGCAGCTCTGCGGGCTTCAGCTCAGGCCTGGCCCTGCTCCAGGTGCAGGAAGGAGGGTAAGGAGGGCCGTGAGGCAGGCTCACCTGCACCTGTCGCTTGGGCCTTCGCGACACCTCCAAGCATGAGCGGTGATGTCCTCTAGCTGCCCCTAGCCGCATCTCGGTTCTCCCAGTGACAGCAGCTGACCAGGACTGGGACTTTCTCCACGACAAGGGGCCAGCACCACAGTCTGAGATGACCGTCCAGAAAGTAGTGGCCACAGCTGTGCTGGTGGCCCTCGTATCTCTCGTCCTCAACAACGCGGCGGCCTTCACCCCCAACTGGGTGTACCAGACCCTGGAGGATGGGCGCAGGCGGAGCGTGGGGCTGTGGAGGTCCTGCTGGCTGGTGGACAGGGCCCGGGGAGGGCCAAGCCCGGGGGGCCAGGCCTGGGCAGGCGGACGTGCGGGACTGTGAGGCCCTGGGCTGGGGCTCCGAGGCAGTAGGCTTCCAGGAGTCGCGAGGCACCGTCAAATGTAAGTCTGTTTATTTTCCCGTCTCCCTGAGAACAGCTGTGGGTGTGGGAGGCGTTTGCTGATGAGGGAGGGATGCTCTGCTCCCAGAGGCGACCATGGCCCTTGGGGACCCGGGCAAGCCCGGAGCTCCATGCCTGCCCTGCCCTGGCCCCTTTGTGACACAGTTCTTCCAGTGCAGGAGTGGGGCTTTTTTCTCTGCCGTTATGCAGAGCTAAAGGAAGGATACATTAACCAAACCAAGGAAAATACACTTTTTCCTGGTGGAAAATAAAGATTGTTAACAAGTAAAATAAACAAGAAGTTTAAAAACATGTGGCTGGGTTCCGACTTTATCCCATAGTCGTCAGGGTCACAGGGCTGTGGGCAGTGCAGAGGGAGACCTTCTGGGGACTCGTTGTAGGTGGGACATCCAGAGGAGACTGGGGGACTGGACCCTTCAGAGGGCGAAGAGCCAGCTCAGGCAAGCAGAGCCCTGGCTCCCTCCACCCAGCAGTCTTTTCTGGACCCTGCTTCGTCACGTCCAGCACCGGGTCTGCGTATGGCTCTGGAAGATGGGAACTTGACTTTGAACGCAGGGTCAGGTTTGAGTGTATGGGAGGGAAGGTTCGTAAATATGAAGACGCTGGCCACCTGACATGTCATCTACACAGTCACAGCGGCCAATGGGCAAAGGTCTCCCCTGAGATGACCCTTTAAAACTGCTATGAGGGTGTAACTGACAGGCCGTGTCACCCATGCTGAAGACAACACGTGTTCACAAAAACGTGGGCTCTGGATGGGCCTCTGCAGGCTGCTTTCAGAGGGCACACCTCACCCAACACAGGTGTGACGTGCCTGGTGTGAATGTCCCCAACCTGCTGTGTGCTCGGAACCCTGACCTGCGAGGGAACCGGGTGGGGGACTCTCTCTCTACTTCACAGGGAAAGGAGGCATGTGGCTCATCTGAGGTCCCTTTGCACACAGAACCCCGCGCTGCACAACAAGGGGTCTTCTGTCAGGAGTGGCTGGTATGCTAGCCCCTTACCGTTCCCCTCAACCCCCACCTCGTTTGCAAGCAGAGAGCCACAATCTCTCTTAAAAAAGTCAAAGAACCCGAATGACTTCAACCTTTTCAGTGAGCTTTCAGAACCAGAGGCCTGTGGGAAGCTGGGTAAATCAGCTGAACTTGGGTCTCTGTGACCTGTTGGTCGGAGTGGTCCCTCTGGGCCCTGAGACTATTCTTAGGACCAGTGAAAGCCAGCGACCATGTGGCTCCGCGTGACCCTCGCCTCTCCCAACCTCCTGTGTGCGCAGTGTCCCATGTGGGCCCAGCCCCTGCCCTGGGCCCAAGGCCTCCTGCCATGACCCCCAGTGCCACACAGATGCCCACTCCGTGTGTCCCTCCCCTCCATCCTCTTGCTAAGCCAGGTCACATCAGGCCAGGAAGACATGGGCTGGGATGTGCTTTGCGTCCAGCCCCCCAGATCCACCCTGCCAGGTGTCCCGAGTGCCCCGCTGGCCTGCCCTCATTTGCTGTCCCTCCTCAACCATCTGATATGCCTCTTGAACTGCCTTTAAAACAGCCTCCTGTTGTTAACGTGGCATTTGTGGCAGCTGACCCTTAACGATACCCTGAGCATCATCAGATTCTTTTCCAAAACAAGGGAAAACGTCTACAGAGCTTCTTGTGAGTTGAGTGAATGATGACCCTAGTGCTGACAACCTTCTCACCAGTTCCCTGGGACTGTGCACTGCTGCCCCTGCAGGTCCTGAGCTGGGGACTTGTGGCCTTGTTTCTGGACCTACCGCCTTGCTAACTTTTATGAAAAACCTCAGCCCAGGCTTTGCCCACCATGGTCCAGCCTCCAGCCGGGCTAGAGATGGGAAGGAGGAGAGGGCGACCTTGTCCCTGAAATCACCCCTGTTCTATCCATCCTGAGCTCCATCTGGGGGCACCAAGGGAGCACGACTTGTGCTGCATCCCCGGAGAGCCAGGCCATCATAGAGATTGCAAACATCACATAGGTGGCCAGGGCAGCCCTTGGGGGCAGCAGACATGATCCTGATGGCTCTGTGCCCAAGTCCTGGCAATGCCTGTGGAACCAAGCCAGACCCACCTGGCACCATTGGGCAAACACCTCATCACGTCATGAGCTCTGGTCAGGGCGTCCCAAGCATGATGCATCAGGGAACAAGGCCTGGTCCAGGTCTCCCAGCTGCCCCCAGGTCATGCTTGGTCCAGTCCTGGAGGACAGGGCCCTCCCCACACACTGGGTCCCTGGGCATGTGGGGCGGCAGTGACTTTGTTACTGACCAGGTTGGAAGTCTGAGAAACTCATAGCCCAAGTTGGGGGTCAGTCTTGCTTTCTAGTCCTGATTCTCTCTGCCACTTTTCATCTCTCCATGTTTCCTGAATTCTGTCAGCACCCAAATCCTTTCCCCAAAGTGAGGCGGGACATGAATAAATACATAATTAAATCTCCTTGAGACTCCTCCCTGCCGCAAGGTGATCACTGCTCTCTGTCTCCTGAGAAGGCAGGCCCACATGGCGCTGGGTGGGGACAGGACTGTGTGCACCATGGACAGCCTGGCCAGGAGACACTAGAGCCACATTCTCATGGGGCTCTTTAAAATCCAGTGCTGCAGCCTAGGCTATGCACACAGGAAGTGTGAGAAGCGGTCAAATGCCCGGACTTGGTGGGTGCTAGCAAGGACAAGGCCCCTCTGGGTGGTCCAGATGAGAGAGTCTTCTGCCTCATGCTTTACATCCTCTGAGATCTCGGATACCATAGAGCCTTGGACACCTGGTGGCCTGTCAGAGGCCCCTGCACAGTGGCTCGGAGGGTGGGGTTGCCACACAGAGCACTGATCTGGTATGTGGCACAGGGTTGTGCACTCAGAGCCGCCAGGGCCACTAGGAGAGCAGGGCGGTGGGCCCCACGTGGGAGTCTCAGCTGCATGGCCTCAGGGCGCCACCACCCACACCCTGCTCCGCAGACACTCCTGGCACAGCCAGTCCATTCTCGCACGTCTTTCCTGGCCTGCGAGGCTGAGCCTCGAAAACTGGAAGGACTTTTCTGGGCCTGGCCATGAATCCCAGCACTCCGCTCTCTGTGCTGTGGACATCCTTTGCGCTTTAACAGCCCTCATCTCTGAAGCCCATGGGGCATGTGCAGTGCCTGAGCATCACAGGCAGCATCACGCCCAGGCAGAGGCGCCATCTCTGTCTGTCTGTCTGTCTGTCTTTCTGTGAATGCTCCTTGGGCCCTTGGTGCCGGATTCAGGCTACTCTGACCTCCCAGCAGCCCAGGGCATCTGCCCTACAGTTCTGCCCGTGTCTACACCAGCCTCCGAGCTGGTGGTGCCGCCCCCAGGCCTGAGCAGCCAAGTCAACTGAGGCCTGGGATCGAGGAAAGGCCCAGCTGACCCTCTGTGGGGAAGTGGCACAGCGCCTCCACTGGACTCCGCAAGCGCTAAATGTGAATGCCGCCTACCCACCGCAGAGCATGAATCAGATACCATCACCCCTGAAGCCTGGGTTGGGTGGGGGCTACTTTTACAGTCTGGAAGGACCATGGGGAAGGGGCCTGACTTCATGGCAGACAGCTCTGCCACCCAGCATATAGGGAAACTGTTTTCCCTGATGGACCTCTCGGTGACACCCCACCGCCCCCACCTTTGCAGTTGGTCCTTGGGGCTGCCCATCCGCCCTCTGCCCTGTGTACGTGAACGCCTTGCTCTGGGATGGGGTGCAGGTGGGGGTCGGGAAGGGGGCTGGGAGGCTCGATGAGACGAGGGAGGAGTCCCAGGAGGGGCAGGGAGCCCCTCCTGGAGCAGCCCCCTCAGTGTTGACTGCCTGCTTCTCTCCCTCCGGCCCCTGTAGTGCAGTTCGACATGATGCGAGCCTGCAACCTGGTCGCCACAGCGGCGCTTGCCGCGGGCCAGCTCACCTTCGTGCTGGGGCTGACAGGCCTGCCTCTGATGTTACCTGATTCCCAGTGCTGGGAGGAGGTCATGGCTGCTGCGTTTCAGCTGGCGAGTAAGTACCCCTGCCTGGGCCCTGGGTAGGCAAGCTGTGGCTTCTAAAGTCATGGCGACCCCCCTGGGTCACCTCCCACCCCACCTGCCACTGTGGGCAGAAGCAAAACAGAAACACACTGGGGCTGAGCACTGAGGGGAACCAGATAAGTTTGTGTCTGTTTCCACGAGGCCCCTGGCCCTTCCCGTCTAAGACAGGGTGCCAGCACTTGGGGTGACGTGCTTTGCTTTCCAAAGTCTTCAGCATCTGGTGTGTCCTTTGCTGCTCTTCAGCCCGTGTGGCAGGCGTCCTGGGTTCATGTTGCTCCCGTGAGGCTGCAGCAGCCTGCCGTCAGCACAGAGGCACATGGGCCAAAGGGGAGCACCCATCTGAGCCCCAGCTTCCACTGCCATCCTGGCTAACAGTGGATGGGGAGTCCAGGGCACACATGTGGTTCCCAGCTGGGCATCTGCATGCTCGGTTATAAAGGCAGCTGCCTGGGGCCCGGATGGGGTCAGCAAGGCCCTCCCTGGTGAGCAGCACAGACAAAGCTTGGAGAATCCGCTGGCTTAGGACCCCCCAACCCCCCAGCACACAGGGATGTACAGGCAGCACCACGAGGAGACACCCAACCTCTTGCATTGTCACATGAGCAAGTTTGTGGCGGCGCAGGCCGAGACCAGCGACGCCTTGGACCATCAGTGAACGGCCCCTTAGGAACAAGCAGGAAGCCCCCTCAGCCTCTGGGGTCGACAGCAGGGTGAAACGGTCTGGGCCTGGGAGCGCTGCCAGCTTCAGAAGGCAAGAGTGGCATCGTCATGAACCGTGAATGGAACTGTTCCCGGAGTCTCTGCACAGTGGTCACAGGAGCCACAGAGGCTGGCCACCCCGGACCCGGGAGTAGAGGGGCACCCTGCTGGTTCTCCTCCACCACTGCCCTGTCTCACTGGCCCAGGTTTAAGGATCATGGGAACCTGGGAGCTCAGGTTCTCTGCTGCCTACGGGGGACAGTTAGATGGGTGGACCGTGGGGCAGAGGAAGCCTGGGGCATCAGCAGCCGACCGCCGGCCATTCCCATGGTGAAGGTTGCCCATCCCAACTGTGAAGGTCCAGCATGCACGCGGTGGGAGAACGGCAGGAAGTCTGAGTGACTCACTCGGGGAATAATGGATCCCAGCCCTTATCTTTCTGGAGGAAAGCAATTTCCAGAATGTGGCTGACAGGCTGGCAGGTACTCCTGTGCTGGAAAGTGCTCAGGTGGGAATCGGAAATGGGCCCTATTAATAGAAGGAGGCATGGTCCTGGGCCAGTCACTTCCCCGAGACTGGTCGGACTGGGTTGCAAAAGCCCACTTGGCCGAGGCCCAGGAGAGAGCACAGGCTTTGATGTCAAGAAAACTGGAGCCGCATCCCAGCTCCAGCACCCACTGTCCCCGCGGATGGGGCAAAGCCACACTTCAGCTCACCCGGCTGGAAAACGGGGTTGATTGTGAGAGTTAACGAGACACGTGATACGGGATCTTGGCCCCTGCCTCCTCCTTCCTCCAGGGCTGCGGGGAGAAACGCAGACATTCCACAGTGGGAAAGCCACCCACGGCCCTCGACCTCAGAACTATAAACAGAATCGGTTTCCTTGGCCTCACTGAAACTACCCGTCTGGCTCACGTGGGATTATCTGAAATTCCATCCCTTCAAGAAGGAAGTGGAAGATTTTGAAAACGTGACTGGAAACGCTGGATTAAAAACAGATATTTTAGCGGCACTAAAGAAATGAAAGTAAGTTTCTGATTCTGAAAGCAACCCTATCTAGGACAGGATGATCAGGTCTTTCTTAAGAAATTTGAGCCACTTATTTAGAATTATTAGAAGAAACGTAGTTTAATGTCAAAACTGACATTTTACTTCTTGCAAACTCTTGTTTCAGAGCAAAATAGTGTTGCTTTCAAACAACAATTTTTAAAAAGTTGAAACAGGGGCACCCCTATTAACTAAAATCAAACTGTTTTGCAGTGGCTGGGAGAGGGGCGCTGCCCAAGGGTTCACAGCGCGGGGTGGCGGTGGGGTGGCAGCTGGGCAGCTGTCCTGGCCAGGTTGGGCTGGGGGCCTGTGCTCCCCTCCTGAGTATTTCCAGACCAGCACAGCCTCTGGAAAGGCTGGACCAGGCTTTGTAAAAACTGTCAGGCAGGCAGAAGCCAACGGAAAAAACCAGAAGCCCTGAGCGACACCTGTGGCATTTCGGACGTCCCTCTGCCTCCACAGGCCCCTCTCCCCCCGGGTGTCCGACCGCCACCCCCAGCGGGTCTGCTGTGCCCGAAGAGGAAACGCAGTTGGCCTGTTTAGACTCATTTCATTGACAAACAGAACAGAACGCAGCCCTGCGCCTTCCTTCTATCACACTGCTAATTTTAGAGTTAGGTTTTTTCCTGTGCTCCGGTCTGTTTTAAACAGTCAGGGAGAGACTGGAGGGCGCCAGGATATCCTGTCCCAGGAGGGGAAATGCCTGCTAGTACCTGTTATGCAAGAGAACCTTGAGTCCCCAGTGCTGGGGCCAGAGAGTGGGCAGGCGGGAGAGGTGCTCATAAAAGGGGGAAGCACGCGGGTTCCCCAGGAGGCCGGGAAGGCTAGGACCAGCCGGAGACAGCAATACCCCAGCGGGTGGGGACTCGAGGCGGGTGGGGACTTGAGGCCGGCTGCTCGCTCATTCATCCCACGGCCAGTCTGGGTGCAGGTCCACACTCGCATATTGCCTGGCCCGGGTCTGTGAAAACTTGGCCCTCTGTTGCTCAAAGCTGCAGCTCCAAAGGATCCCACCCCAGACACCAGGGAGGACCACAGGAAACACTGTTCTCGCAGGTTGACAACGTGGCCATCAGCCGTTTCTCTGGTTTGCTCTACTGAGCTCAGGCCACCACACACTAATTCTTTATGGAGTTTACCAAGTGTAATTTCAATTTACCTTCAAGTTGCAAAAATTCCTTTCAGTCCCTTACTTCACCCCCAGCACGAGCTGGATACCCTTTGAAAGGACCACGCACACTTGGACACAGCCTGGGCCTGAGGCTAAGCCCCGCTGAGCGCCAAGCAGGCCTCACTGCATGTGCCCAGGAGACAGCACAGCCACCACAGAGCAGCTATCCGCTGCCTCCTGGCCTAGCCAGCCCCTCCTCCAGGCAGGAGCTCCTCAGGTCCAGCCGTGAAGGATGACTTCAAGGGCGGAGTTTACCTGGACCTTGTGGGATGTCATGTCTGCTGGCTTCCTCTCTCCACTCTGGAAACCCTATGATATTTTTCTTATGATGAAGAACTTACAGACACACTCAGGGCCCCTTACTCCATGCCCCTGAGGATGCTGACTTTATTATCCTCAAAGATCAATTAGGGGGATAAAAGGTGGCTGTCTTGGCCTCTTGTGAGCTGCTGGGGATTCTGCTATTTTCTTAGACCTTCTTGAAGGAATACACAACTTTGTGTTTTTATAGTAAAGCAGTACTTCACTTGGCCTTGGGTGACTCGCTTTCCTATCCTTTGGGCCCCTGCCCACCACACTCCCATGGCTTCTTCTCTCCCACTCTCTGCTCAGGCACCACTTCAGAGCTTCAGCTCCCACCAAGCCAGTGAGCATGTCAGCTTCTCCCTCCCAGACCTTGTCCCTTAGGGAGAGGCTCACAGGTGTCGGAAACCCCAACCGCGGTCAAGTCTCGGATGCTCCAGACACATCTTCCTGGAAGCTGTGGCCAGTACAAGCTATGGACGCCGAGGTGGGTGCGCTGCATGAAGAGCTCAGTGCTCAGCCCCACGGTCTCCCACCCATGCCCTCCGTATGCTGGACTCAAGAGGAAGGGCCTGTGACAGCCGGCGAGGCCCTAGGAAGCAGGCAGGAAGGAAGAGAGAGAGAGCGCTGGGAACCACACGGCCCGCAGCGGCCGGCTCACAGGAAGGGGCTGTTTGCTTTGGAAACATAAGTTCATGAGGATGGAATCGACTCCACGTGCAGGAGTCAGTGTGTTTGCTGAAACTCTCCGCTTAGATTTGTTTCTGTACAAACGTTGACGGCACTGAGAGGTCTGGGGAGAAAACTCTTTGGGGACAGCTCTGAGGAGAAAGGGGATCTTAATGTCAGGATGTGACAGAGATGGAGAACCCAAGGTTTCAGGAAAGCATATCAGAGTAAAAGGCTGGTTTGATTTGAGAAGGATGTGCATGCTTGGCGAGTATAGGCAGCCCCTGCCTCTCCGTCTGTGGCTTTCCACTGCTGACATGGGATACACGCACAGTCCCCACATCCCACGTGCCTGCTCAGTCCAGGCTGCCCCCGCTGGCCCAGGGCAGAGCCCACGTTTCCCTGTGCCAGCCCTGCCGTGACATCCACCGTTGGCCCAACACCTGGGCCCACTGTTCCAGTTGGTTCTTTGTATTTTCCTGCTGCAGGAATAAACGTATTTTTTTAATGTTAGGGAAACAAACCCCTTCTCTGACTGTTTGTGTTCCAAGTTGAACTAAAATAAAGCTAAAGCCAACACTGGTCTTTATACAGAATAAAGTCACGTAGATGTAAATTTGGGTGACTTTTCTTCACACTGGGGTACAGAACTAGACTTTTCCTTCCTACTTCTCCTGGAGAGAAAAAAAAGAAAGGCCAGCAAGAATGTGCAGGCTCTGAGTGACGCCAGCTAGAGAATGAACACCCAAACTGCTTGAAACTAGTCCATGCCACTCACTGTTGAACCCTTGAAAAACTGTTTGCAGGACGAAGGACGAAAGAGCTGGGACTCAGCTTGTTCATTTCACTTTGTCAAAGTCACTCCATAAGGCTCCGTATTCATGCTGGCCCATCATCTCCATCACTTTTCCCACTGCATTTCCAGAACGTGGCTGTGCTGCCTTTGTGCACGTGAATTCTCACTTCTTTCATCTTGTAACATGAGAAACAGTCCTCTCCATTGTAGGTGATACAGCTGAACATATGGAGGAAGTAATAAACAGAGTAAAAGGGCAACAAAAGAACAGCCTGCCCTATTTCCAAAAAACCTGCGATATGATCTTAAGAAAACAAGTAACAATGCAGTGAAGTAACCCTGAGATGCTGGCGGACGCAGGACTCAGGGCGGACGGCGGGGCCGCTCTCCCATACACACCCTGTGGAGGTTCCCCGCCTGGAGGGCCCAGTGGCCTCTCTGTGCTGCGGTCTGGTGTCAAAGGCCAGGGCAGCCCAACATCACCCTCCAGAGGGTTCCCCCAGCCTGTCCCCACACCAGCACATGCCTTCCCTACTCCCATACCACTGGTCCTAAATGCCTCCAACCGTGGTGGGTACCACTTCACAGTGATTATTTCATCCTCATGCCCAAAGAGGAACGCCAGCCCCCTGAAGACAGTCGCCGTGCCTCGCCTGGAGCGTGCTGCCCCAGCACCGGCGGGGGGTGTGAACAGGCCCTCTGACACAGGCACTGTTAACCAGTGCAAGTGGGCACTTTGGGAAACAACGGTCCTCTTCCTGCTTTGTAAGGTGCCAGCACCGCAGCACCTGCACTGTGCTGAGTGGCGTCTACGCGATCCTTGCTCACAGTGTCCCGTCCCTCCGATGCCTTTTGGTCACTAGAAAGCTTAGGGGACTTGGCTGTGGAAGTGTTCACACCTTCTTTCCCAGGGTCCTCAATGCGTTCATTCTATTCTGCATTACAGAGTGTACTTGGATTTGTCTCCGTTCCCTCTGCAGTCCTTAGGGGGCAGCCTTGGGGAGGCCGAGGTCAATGGGTGGGCCCACAGACACATGCTGTGACCGCCTAGCTGAGTGCTGACGGGTCTGGGGCAGGAGGACAGGAGGCTGCCCACCCCATGACAGAGCACGGGGACAGTGGCACCAGGAAAGGTCTAGAGAGGGAGGAACATACGCCCAAGGAGCAAGGCACCAGCACACAGTGTGATGGAGAAGCGAGGCCAGACAGGTGGTCCAGTCAGGGAGACACGCCATGGACATGATGTGACCGGTAGGAGGAAGCACCTCTATAAGGTGACAGGCGCAGCCGTGGAAACGTGGAAACCAGAGGCACACTGCCAGCGTCTTGATGAGTTTCAGGAAGTGCTTGTTGATGGAAGAATCTAAAATGAGTTGTACTTCTGGAATACTCTAAATGCTTTATTGTGCACCTTGTGTGCAAAGGACTCAGGAGATATGTGAGAACTGCTGAAGACACATGAGGGGACTCTGAGAAGCCCGTGCACCCTGCTCCCGTCCCCGGCGATCGCTGCCCACTGGCCAAGCTTGTCTGAGCTGCACAGGGGAGCCCCTCTCCTTCCATGGCTGGCATCCCAGCACCTCGTCTCCCACAGACGTGAGTTTCAGACGTTGCTGATGTGGGTCACAGTCGTGTTTCCTGTGACGTGCAGGGATCTCACTCGGGCGCAGTCCTGGGAGTGGGTTGTGGGTCCCAGGGCCACACAGCGTGTCCCAGCTGTGCTCTGCCTCAGGCCAGGTCCAACTGGTCAAGGTCTGACCCGAACCCTAACCCTTCCAGTCCTGGGCCAGCTCCTTCAACCAGATCCTACAGTCCACAAATCTCTGTTGAAATGTAATGAATGCAATGAAATTCAAGGTCCTCTCTGTCTACCAGTGACGGGAACCAACCCCAAGCGGAGTGGCCCTGGAGGCAACGGGAAGCCCGGTTCCTCCCTCCGGTTCCCTTCTGATGAACGATGTTGCAGAACTGAGCTGAGGCCACGTAACAGATTTCTGAACGGTTCCTATAACGCGTACAACCCGAAAGAAGGCTTTAGTAGAAGGGAGCACAGGGGGCTGGCGTCTGATGAAAAGCAGTTTGGGTCAATTCCTTGCAGCTGCGTTGGTCCCCGACACCGCCCATCTGCTGGCCTTTCTCACTTGTCCAGAGGCTCCACCTGGCCTCGCTGGGCACCAGTCAGCCGGTGCTCTGACCCTCTCCCCTCAGACACAGGCTGGCCTCCTACCTCACTCTCCCCTGTCCCATCCCACCCCCATCCTTCCAAGTCCTGTTGAAAGAAGGCATAACAAGCTCCCTGGCTGGCAAAAAAATGTCCAAATACACAGTAAAAATGAGGGGAAACATAAAGTACTTTCATTTTCATTACACAAAACACAGGCCCTAACTCCTCTCCTCACTAACGCAAAACTTGGTGACACAAAATCATGGGCAGAGGACGTAGTCCTCTCTGGGAGAGCAGAATGCTAGAATTTTCTTCTTGTCAGTGTGCATGACAAACAGAATTAGTTATTTTTAACAGAAAGGAAGTATCCAAAAGCTTTCCGTATATAAAAAGCTCCACAAAGTACCATGGAGAATTAGCACAGGGATTAGTCACTGTCACCATTGTTTAGGATGTGATCAAGGCAGATAAACGTTTAAGTCACACTTTCTGGAAGGCACAAAGATGGTGAGACTGTAATGCTTGTGTTTTGAGAAAACTCCAGCTAACCTATGACACGGCCATCAGAGCTGTCAGCTGGCGTCACTGCTGCCCTCTGCTTGGACTGTGCTGGGCTGCACAGGAC